CGCCAGTCGTCTTCTTTCACCTGCCGAACGAAAGTTCTCCATCACTGAGCGTGAATGCCTAGCTTTAGTGTGGGCCGTGGCGAAATTCAGGCCTTACCTGTATGGCCGAACTTTTTCCGTTGTTACGGACCATCACGCTCTCTGCTGGCTGTCATCGCTAAAGGACCCATTTGGACGTCTTGGTCGCTGGGCGCTCCGTCTGCAAGAATATTCATTCGTGGTCCACTACAAGTCGGGACGCCTCCACACAGACGCAGACTGTTTGTCACGTTATCCGGTTGAAACGCCCGACTTGACAGACCTTGATTCAGACCCCTGCATTCTCTCCATCCACGCTTTGGGTGATATCTCCACTGAAAAACGACGTGACCCGTCGTTACTCTCCATCATCGAGCGTCTGACCTCTGCTCCAACGGACCCTTCCGTTCGCCTGTTCGAACTGCACGACAACATTCTGTACCGTCGCAGCTTCAACGCTGATGGCCCGGAATTACTACTCGTGCTACCCCATCACCTGCGTACCAGCGTTCTCGAACAACTACATGACGTACCTACAGCCGGTCACCTAGGCGTCTCTCGTACCTACGATCGTGTGCGACATCGCTTTTTCTGGCCCGGACTGTATCGTTCTGTGGTTCGCTATGTCACTGCTTGACACCGCTGCCAACGCCGCAAGCGCCCCTCTGTGCTACCGTCTGGCCTCCTACAGCCCATTGACATACCGACGGAACCATTCTTCCGTGTTGGCCTTGACCTGTTGGGCCCGTTTCCTACGTCCACCTCCGGAAATAAATGGGTTGCAGTCGCCACAGACTACGCCACACGCTTTGTCATCACTAAAGCACTGCCGACAAGCTGTTCCACTGACGTCGCTGACTTTCTCTTATATGAAGTCATTCTTCATCACGGCGCTCCGCGGCAGCTGCTTACTGATCGAGGAAGGTACTTTCTTTCACGTGTTGTGGATGACATTCTCCGCGCCTGCTCCACTGAGCACAAGCTTACCACCGCTTATCACCCACAGACAAATGGATTGACCGAGCGTCTGAACCGAACGCTGACGCAGATGCTGTCAATGTACGTTTCGCCAGATTACCGTGACTGGGACAAAGAACTCCCCTTTGTCACGTTCGCGTACAATTCTTCACGGCACGACACAGCTAGTTATTCGTCGTTTTATTTGCTATTTGGCCGACATCCAGCATTACCATTTGACACGCTCCTTCCTTCGGCTGCCCCCTTGTCTACTGAGTACGCCAGCGATGTCGTTTCTCGAGCCCATGCAGCCCGTCAGCTTGCCCGTGATCGGCTGCACTTGTCGTAAGTGCACCAAAAAGACCGCTATGACAGTCGCCACCAAAGCGTGCACTTCTCGCCGGGGTCTCTGGTACTTTTCTGGACACCAAACCGCCAAGTCGGCTTGTCAGAGAAGCTACTACCACACTACCATGGCCCCTACAAAGTGTTACGATAACTTAGTGACGTGAGCTACGAGATCGCACCCCTAAACAATGCCTCTTCGACCACCTCACTCCAGACAGACGTTGTACACGTTTCCAGACTAAAACCGTATCACCCTCCTCGTTCGTCGCCGCCGTACTAAGCGCCGTGACGGCGCTTCCGCCGCAGGGGAGTGATGTTACGGTGCATCATCGACAGGAGCAAGCGTGGCACTTAGCGAAGATGAAGAAGACGCCTGTGCGTTAGGCGCTTGCGCGAGAGGCAACTCAGACATCTTGTTCGGCTGCCGATTCTCGATGGACGCTATCCTGTAAGCCAAGACCTCGCCCCGTCACAATATTTTGCGGTGTACCCGCAGTTCACTTTTATGCGCTTCCTACTATTCTGAAGTGAGGTTGGATTGACGTAAGAAGCTTGCCAGGTCCTCTATTTTTAAGAAACCGCGCCTCAAGACCACCGAAACGGGAGGGCCTATGCACGTTCACTTGCGGACGACGTTCTTTGCATTACCCATTTATGGCCGGCACAGTGATGGGGGCGCTGGTGGTGGCGTCCTTTGTCTACACGTTCTACTCGCGAATAAAATTACGCAATCTGGGGTGGTGAGCGCTGCGCAAGCAGAGATTAAATGAGGTGGCTGATCCTCGTCACGTCACTTGGAGGGCGCATGCACTATCCTAACGCGTGTTAGACTTGCCGTCAAATGCTAAAGCAGAGAGGAAGCATGCCGCCCGTCTTGAACAAGCATGAAAAAATACGTGGCCAAAAGGGGGGGGGGTGGGGGAATGGGTCACACGAGTCGAGTCCCAGCGGTGAACTGATTTTAAGGGCATGATTGTGATAAGGTGGTGCATGCGCTATCAGCAAGCATCAGCGCGCGGCACATAAACCTTTCTACGTGGTGCGCTCTCAACGGAAGGAGCGGCCGTACGTCCTTTCTTACACCAGCGTTTTCCAGAGTGTCGCGATGTCGGATTCAAAAGGGTTAGCTTTCAACCTTTGTATTACCACAGGGTCGTGAGGTTGACGAAGGCAGCAGCCGCTGTTTTCGTGAGTGAATCTTATTTGGGCAAAGCTGTTTCTGGAAAACAAAACATCACTCTACAAGCAATACAAGTCGTAGACTAATAGCTGCAAATCAAAGCGTCAGCCGTCGATAATCTACCAAGCAGCAAAGTGCATCGGCATTCATACATGTGCCATCGAAGATTCCCGCACTATCGCTAGCAGCTGCGTAAGTTCCAGAACAAACTCTAATATACATGTTGTGCGCGTAATCTCATCGGAAGGTTCTAAGACTATCTAGATCGTTCCCAGTCATTCGGGAGGAAATTGGGCAAGGAAGTGTGACAAACGTAATGGTGCAGTAGCAAAAATAGAAAATGAGTGCGGCATTTCCATTACCATTAAAAATTTTCGCTATTGCAGCGATCACTTCACCGGTGAAACTGATCAATTTTTTCAGTTTATATGGTTTGGCTAACTGTTGTTAAAACATATATAGAGTCGCATAATGAGGTATGCACACAAACACCACCTTAACAAGATTTATGCATGAACCGAAATACGACGCCACCAAACTAATTTGATATGGACGCGGTTGCGCCCTTTGTCTAATCTCACGCGTGTTGCTCGATTGATGATAAAATTCAGCTAAATTTGGCGTTGCACACGAAAATTGCTGTTTTGGTGCAGCAAGTCAGATTGGCGCAGAATGGCGCAAATGGCACAGCACTTCCACCCCTGTGCATAGGAATAATCCTCTACAAAATTGCTCAGCTTATCCCTCAGCCCAACTGCAGATATTGGTGTGTGAAAATATTTTTCATGATGCCTCTTGAAAAGCAGGCACATGCTCAGGGACAACATTTGCCCTTGACAATTTTGACAGTAAAAGCAAGGACAGCTGAATGGACAAAAAAAAAAAAAAAGGCTTGTACGTACGGTGAAACAAGCTTTATAGGAACAGACTACAGCGCTATGAGGGCTCACAAGAGGTGCAGCTGTTGGTGGTGTTCGGCTGAAATAAGGTCTTCACAAATTGAGAAATGATGCTCTGTGCCACTTGCTTCAGCCGTTAAATCCCAAAATACCTGTTTATGCAATTGTGAGATGGTACCCTTATGAGGCAGTGGGACAGTGTTTTTCCACTTTTTGAAAACACTCTCGGGAGTCAGTAGGACATATGCATATGTCCAACTTTTTTTTTCTTTCAGTAAACTACTGGCTTGATTTCAGTGATAGTTATTTCATATTAAATGGGGTTTATTAGTACAAGTACAGCACTTAAGCAGGACGCTTACGAACGCTGTTCGTAGCAGAAACAACTGTCACACGAATGACAGAGTGGATCACAACAGCTAGTGCTCGGCTCTTCAGGCTAATGTCGTGGCCCACTACGGCATATCGCTCTTCTTCCTCCTTACACATACATTTCTTTGTAGTTTATATCAATATAACACAGCAGGTTTTTATATTCCGTGTATAAAATATAGGCTACCTATAAAGGGTGAGCTCCCTATTCTACAGCATCCCACTAAACTTTGTTTCGATCCACACAACATGGTTTCGTCCAAATCAGCTAATGGTACCCAACATCTTTTCACTTCTATGACAAAAATTATTGCTTTGCAATTTTATATACAGGTGGTACTGTAAGGTATTTGCAGTAAAATCTAACAGAAACCATAATTTTATGATAAGAAAAGGTATATGAGAGCTATATTTTATGTTCAAAAGATAACACAATACTAAAATTAATTATCAAAAAATGAAAATTTAGGCTCTGTTTCTCCTAATGAGCTATTTATCTTTCTTAATGAACCACGACATGTGTTCTTGCAGACCATTGCATATATCCCTCATTTTTATGGCTTCATAACAATATCAAATGAGATCACGATTTAAGTATTGAACTTAAATCATGATGTGTACAAAGTTTCTGTAACAATAACATTAAAAACTGCTGTTAAAAGCTACAACTAACTCACTCCTGTAATATGCTCAGCTCCTACCTGGCCAGTTTCAAGTTTTGTATTAAAGGTTCAAAAATGCTTCCTCAATGCAACAGTACAGATGCACAACTTAGCATTAAAGCAGCATACTTATTCATAAAAAAAAGTGCTGATAAAACCTCTATGAAACTACATTGTGCAAGGTACATTAGAAAAAACATCATATAAGCATTGAATTATACAACATGCAACTTCACATAAAAGCAGAACAAACTATACTCAAATGTCTTTAGAAGTGCAAACACACATTATTAGAGCTATTAGTCCCCCACAAACCAGTACCAACTTTAGGGGCTTTAGCGAAATTTACTGTGACATGATAATAAGTGATTAACGTGAGTGTTTGGGCAAGTTGGCAGTGCATTCATGCTTTTTACCGCGCAGTGTAAATTTTTCTTGACGATGACAATAAGGCAAGGTGAGGCAGGAAAGAGGGAATTTTTCTTTTTTGTAATTTCTGCTGCATTGTGACCTTGGAGCACTAAATGCATAAGCAAATTCTGCCATGCATGTAAGTCTCCTCACCTGACAGGCTTAAATAGGTTTTTTAAAGGTGGGGAACCAGGTATGGGACCTTGGTGAATGCGTGGCGGCTCCCGCAGTCGTTTCCGCTGTTCAGTGAAGTCAACAAAGTTATCGTGCACTTGGATCCTTTGAGGAGCGATTCCAAATTCCCCCAGGTCCTAAGTAAAAAGAAGTTTCATTTTCAGAAAGAGCAGTGACATCTCTGCAAGCTGGAAAGTGAAGTGCTACCACAACACATTTGATGCACAACAGCCAATTAGACAACTGATTTATTTGGCTCAGCAGTGCTTTTGTTTAGACAACCTTGTGTGACATCTGTAAAGTTGAACAGCACAAACAATGCCAGCACAACAAGATACATCAGTGCAGGACCAGTGCTGATTCTGTATCCATCTTTATGACACAGGACAAGCACTGGTCCAGTGTCTGTGTGTGTGCTTTCTTGCATCCATGTCTTTCGTACTGTTCAATTTTGCAGCTACACAAGTAAGTGCATGTGCTTTATTCCTTAGAGAGAAAAAAAAACGGTAGATATAAAAGCCAGTTTACAGGACGGCAGAGGGTCCTTTATTTTTGTTTTACTTACCGCTGGTACACCAATTTGATCTATGAAAGCTAAGTTAAGTGAACAAATTTTTAAGCCATACGCATCTAAATTTCATATACGGTATCCTACTCAGTGGCCACAACTATCTCTCTTAAACTAAACATGCAGCAGGAAGAAGCCAAGATGAGTCCAAAAAGACAAATATTTTTTACACAATGTTAACAGAGAGTGAACGAATAGGTTGCGCAGCTGTGGAACAATAGGCTTGAAATGCTGCCCATTAGGTTCTAGAGCACAAGTGTGATCTCTAGGGACTTCTTCCTTTGCACGATCAGTGCAAGGTAGTATGCTAAAGTAAACGATATGGCAGGAATTTAGTAGTACTTATTTGCTCTTATTTGACATATACTGTATAATGGAAGTTTTTCACATTTGAATTTGGCCTAAAGGGGACATGACACCCAATTTTCGCTCATAATCTGTATTGGAGGTTCATTCTTGGATGTTCATAAACAAGCTGGCAAAATTTCAAAGCATTTGATTAAGCCCTTAATTTATAATGAATATATTTATGAGCATGCAAGTGGCCTGAGAGTCTGACAACACTGGTGCACTCGCAAGCTGTGATGTAATAAGCCACTTGCTTCATAAGCGTCATTGATATGTCAGGTTTAACGTCCGAACACCACCATATGATTATGAGAAACGCCGTAGTGGAGGGCTCCGGTAATTTCGACCACCTGGGGTTGTTTAACGTGCACCAAAATCTGAGCACATGGGCCTGCAGCATTTTCGCCTCCATCAAAAATGCAGCCGCCGCAGCCGGGATTCGATTCCCCGACCTGCAGATCAGCAGCCGAGCACCTTAGCCACAAGACCACCACGGCGGAGCATTCGTACCCGTCAGCATTCCAGCCAACAATAATGTTGCGTGGCCAGTTGCGTATAAAATAAAGCTAATCCAGCTTGGAATTGAAAATTGCACGATTTGCAGAGGCTGAAACAGCTAGAAGAGGACAACACCTCACGAAGCACACGATGTCACACACATCAGGGCTGGGCAGTAGCGTGATACAAGAGTATCGCGATACTATTTCAGAGATACTTTTGAGTATCTGTGCTTCTATATTGAGATACATATGAAAAATGTATCTGTATTTCAGTAGCAAAATACTTTTACAATGTATCAATAGTATCAAGATACTATGCATGGCACGGGTATCTCGTTACATTTTTATTTTGTGAGAACTTAAGTCTAGACGCATTTTGAGTGCTGTCAAGTGGAGAATGAAGCTTTCTTGCCTTTCTTTCTTTTTTATTTTTGCCACGACAACCAAAGGTGTGCTGTGCTGGTAGGCGACATAAATAGAGCCACAGGTTTTTCCTCAAGCACAGAATGGCCTATGTGATAAAGTGCACGACGCCGCTGACAGCAGGATCGCGGAAGCAGTGTTGTCGGCTTCTGAAAGTGGCTGTCAAGGCCAGTGAAGCATGCCTAATTTTTTTTGGGGTGGCAAGCCATTTTATAATTGCAATTGATACCTGTGATTATGTATTACCCATAATGTACTTTGTAAGTCCCCCCCCCCGCCCGTTATGTCTCAATGTCACTGAACATACTGTAAAAAACAAAAATTAAACTGCAACATTCCATTGTTGTGCTGTATTGCTTATAAAATTATGTTGCACCAATTAATGTCTTTGTGGAATATTAGTCTCCCCCCCCCCTCTAAAAATGTATGCCTATCTCTGTATTCCGCAATACTTTTTGCGACTTTTTTTCATAAGCATCTCCAAAATATAGTGTTACGTCAACGAGAAATGTATTTCAGTGTTCATATTTCGGGCTTTACCTGGCTGTATTTTGATATCTGGGAACTCAGATATGGCTCGAAGTTTAGCAGGATCGGGAAGAATGCCTTCTTTGGAGACGACGTGGCCTAGTACCTTATAGTTAGTTTCTAGCGAGAAATAGGCACTTTTTCAAGTTAAGCTGGAGACCGGCATTTTGGACACAGGTCAAAACTTGATGCAACCGTTGTAGATGGGTTGGAAAATCTGGCGCAAAGACGACAATTTCATCTAAATAGCAGAGGCAAATGTGCCACTTCAAGCTGCGTAGGATGCCGTCCATTAAGCATTCATAGGTGGCGGGCACGTTACAGAGACCGAATGGCATTACAGTGAATTCGTACAATCCATCTGGTGTTACAAACGCGGTTTTCGAGCGTTCAGTCTCAGTCATGGGCACTTGCCAGTAGCCAGAGCGGAGATCCAAGGAAGAAAAGAACTCCGCTCCTTGCAAGCAGTCGAGTGCATCATCAATTCATGGCAATGGGTACACATTCTTTCGGGTAATCTTGTCAAGCTGGCGATAATCGACGCAAAATCGTATTGTGCCATCTTTCTTCCAAACAAGGACGACAGGTGATGCCCAAGGACTGTTGGAAGGTTTAATGACACCGCTTTTAAGCATATCATTCACCTGGTCATCAATAAGGCGCCTTTCACTCACCGATATTTGGTAAGGACACTGTCGAATGGGCGCATGGCTTTCGGTGTCGATAGTATGCGAAACAGTCGTTGCGCGGCCGAGTGCCCTTTCTTGGCAGTCAAAAGAGGAAGAGAAATTGTCGAGCAAGCAAAGAAGTTGGTCTCGTGTCGTCATAAGGTTGCTGGCTATAGCTGGTGTGAAAGATCGCGGTAGTGGCCGAGGAGTTGATGTCTCGAGGGTGGCCATATCAGTAGGGTCGTCCATGGTGTCAAATATCGAAGATGACGCCAGCGGCTCGGCTTTGCCGAAAGTTTCCTGGCGTCGCAAAGTGATTGGCTCGGGCGATAGATTGGTGATGTACATTACAAAGGCGCCTCAACGGAACTCGAGAACAACAAATGGCAATGGCAGTGATCGGCGGTGAACCAGAAGTATAGACGGTGCGAAAAGCCCTGAGCCGCCATCTTCAGAGTCACAAGAAATGGAGACAAGAACAGCAGACTGGGCAGACACAATGGTGTCGTCACAAACTGTGATTTGTGATTTTGCGACATGTGTCCTTGTCAGTGATGATGTCTGTCGAAAATGGGAACTCGAGTTCAGCACAAGCGCAATTGATGATCGCACGATGTGTAGAGAGGAATTCTCACCATAATATGACGTCGTGAGGACAAGATGGCAGCACAATGAATTCGATCACATAAAGAACATCCTGGATGACGACACGGGCTGTGCAGGCACCTGATGGTTCGGCCTCCTGCGCGTTGACTGTAAGAAAGAATAGTCCAGAAACAAACGTCGTGACTTTTTTGAGATGGCGGCAAATGCGGGCATCAATCGCTGAAAGGGCAACGCCGGTGTCGACAAGGGCTAGCGTCCATGTTCCTTCTATGATGACTTCAATAACGTTTCGGGGAGAAATTTGAGGCCTTATGCATTTTGCCGGAACCGCAGTTCTCGCCTCCTGAACTGCACTACTTAGTTTTCCTGGCGCACAGGGCTCCGCCGTCGGTGCATGGGGGAAAGGGAGCGGCAGCATGAAGAAAGCGAGTGGCGAGAGGAGGGTGGGGTCTGGGTGGTAGGATCAGATTCGTAGTCGTCTGAATAACTGCGGCGGGGTTGACGTGGTGCATATGTGACCCATGGTGGACGCACATGGTGATAGGTGGTGCACAAAAGTGACAGTAACGGGCCACATGTCCAACAAGGCCACAATGAAAACAAATGGGACGGTTGTCTTGCGTGCGCCAAGGGTCGTCGGCTCGTGCGTACTGTACGACTGGGCAGGCGGGCGGCGATACTGGCGGGGGAATAGGCGGACTACGTGGGTTGTAACCTTGCATCACAGGCCTGGAAGCGACTGCGGCGTACGTCAGGGGAGCAGCAGTCGGAGCCTGATGGAGCGAAGGCGAGACCTCTTCGGTGACCTGGTCCCTGATGATGTTTCGGAGAGGGGGCGCCAACAGGGAATTCAACTGGTCGTAAACAAGCGGCATCAGCGAAAGCTGGCGAGCGACCTCTTCACGAACGAAATCCTTAATCTGTAGCAGCAGAGATGACTTGTCAGGAGAAACAGCCATCAGGAAAAACAGATGAGTTGTTAGGAGAAACATTGAAGTCACCTGTGCATGAGAGCGGCGCGTGGCTGTGCGTTGTTTGCGCAGCTCATCAAAACTTTGGCAAAGACTGAAGAGTTCAGGCACTGTGGACGGGTTCTTTGCCAGCAGCATCTGAAAGGCGTCGTCTTCAATCCCTTTCAAGATAAGCCTGATCTTGTCGGCATCGGCCAATGCGACATCAACGCGGTTACACAGGTCGACAACGTCTTCAATGTAGCTGGTGAATGTTTCACCATTCTGCTGCCCGCGGCCACGCAACCGTTTCTCGGCTCAAAGCTTGTGAACAGCGGGCCGCCCAAATACTTCCGTCACATGCGTTTTGAAAGTAGCCCTTGTCGAGAAGTCACGTAGGTGGTTTTGATGCCACACGCTGGGGACACCACTCAAATAAAATGACACGTAGCTGAGCTTCGCAGCATCATCCCAGCGGTTGATCACGCTTACCCGTTCGTATTCGGCGAGCCAGTCTTCAACATCCTCCTCTTCTGTACCACTCAAGATTGGTGGGTCGGGTTAACGCGATGGGCCAGGGCAGACCAATGTGGGCACCAGGACAGCAGGTTGTTGCTGCGGTTGATTTCGTATTGCATCCGGCATTTCAGAGGCTGGCTTCAGTTTCGGCTGCGAAGTTCCAGGTTGTCGCTACCCAGCACCTCCACCACTTGTTACGGGGGTTTGTTGAGGTACACAGTGACCGGGAAGATAGCAGCAGCAGCAGGCAAAGCGTAGCCAGGGAGTGAACAGCCGAGCGAGCCAGGCGATGGCAATGCGCTTCCTAGTGTGTCCTTCTTCTTTCTCACATACAGAATACTCTTCCAGGTATCACTGCCCAGCCCCGATAAACGTTATGGCAAATTGGCAATCACAGGCAGAGGGAGGGGTTGACAGCCAGCGACTTCTAGGGCTCACTTTTGCAATAAAATAAACATTTACAGTCTATTTTTCATATATTGGCAGAAACAATACACTTACTTCTACTTCTATTTTCAGCTGAAAACTGCGATTCAGTAGGTTACCATGTCGTGGCCCTTTTAAGTGCTACTTAATAAAAACAACTACGAATTACACAGGAATAGTGTCATGGGTTTCCACAAGATGCAAAAACATGCCTTGTTGACTAGGCTAACCAAATTGCTCAAAGAGAGACATCTTGGTTTGTTGCGCACACCACTTATACCTTCAGAATTTAATGAAAACATTATTGGGGGAAGAATGGTAGCTACACTACATACTATGCATTTCATTTCAAAGTGGCAAACAAGCTCCCTCTTTAATATAGAATGCTATGTGACTGCACTCACCTCTTCATCCATGAAGTCTTCAGGCCTGGATGCAGCAACATTTTCCGACTTGTTTGTCTTGGAGGACTTGTACGTCGAAGGAGTCCAACCTTTGTGTGTACAAGTGGTGTTGTTAAGAGCAGAAGAAACACCAACAAAATACAAAAGTGCACACAATGGCTGTGCATGCAGGGACACATAAAAACATTGGCTCCATCCCAAGAGGGCCACACCAAAACGAAAAACAAAACTTTACACCTGATAGACCTAATATTACAATGAAGCTCGTTTAGACGCATATGTCAAAACTACAAACTAACTCGCATAGTTGGCAACTATTTCATGCCCATGATCTGTATAATTTATTACAAGGTTTTATGTTCCACTGAAAGATTGAAGGAATTTTCACTATGCTGTACTTCAAAGCCCAAAGCATTAAAAGGGCCATGACAAATGCCACAATGAAGGTTATGAAACACCATTATTATCAAGAATGGCTAGAAGGTGTACATAAGGCAGGGTTGTTGTTAATGTAATTACATACTATTAATTTGTTGTCACAGTGGAGGGCACTGAAAATTTCAGCCATCTGGCATTTTTTAATGTGCACTGACATTGCACAATACACGGGCCTCTACTCTTCCACCTCCACCCAAAAGCGAACATCGTGGCCGGGATCGAACCTGTGACCTTCTGGTCAGCAGCTGAGCACAACAATACATAAAGAGCATGAAGTTGCTAAGTGAATCCAAACCTTTACTACCATCAATTAAACAAAAACAGAAAAGTTTTTAATGTTATTTACAAGTTTCGAACAACACTCTCACACTTGTATTCTAGTCTGTGGTACCATGTTTCTTCCTCAAACCAGTCTGGCGTACTGTATTTTTTTTTTCACATATGACTGAAACCTCATTTGCATCAATTTGAGGACAAATTTCCTTATTTGAGTTGTTAAAGCAATGAACCTATTGATTGTTTTAACTGTCTCCTAATATATATATATATATATATATATATATATATTGTTTGAACTGTCTTTTATATTTTTTTACGCATTAAAAAAATAAGTATATATATATATATATATATATATATATATATATATATATATATATATATAGTCCAGTAGATCCTCCGTGAGCTGTCACAACGTGGTTTATTTCAACGTTTCGGCCTTGAGTCTGGCCTTCATCAGGATTAAAGGTACAGTTTGTTGGTGCTCAGCTTTATAATCAGAGGGCAAGGAAAGAGAGAAAAAGACAAAAGAAAAAAAAGAAAAAAGAAAAAAGAGAAAAAAGAAGAGAAAAATAATATACGGTGGACTCCCCTCGGGCGCCCCCCTTCCACTCTTCCTTCCACTTCCCCCTTCATCTTTCTTCCCCTTCTCCCCTTCACCTTTCTGATGTCAGCGGTCTGTGTATGCTTCCTTTCACTAACGCATTCCTCCCGACCAGACGGCACCTCCTGGCACTGGCGGTTCAGTGTGGGGCAAAAATGAGCTTTTTTAGGACGTTCTAAGCCTTTAACTACTCGGAGTCCCGTCAACATTTCGTCGTAAAAAGAGGGGTGCCCCGTATTGCGGCAGAGGCTGGTAAGCGGGCGCAATGCGAATTCCTTGCCCGCTTCTAGATTACGCGTGTAGTGGGTGCCTCCTGGCTGTGTACAGGGTTGCTGTTGGGCATGTCATGCATGGCACAATTGATTGGGTAGTAAAATAAAACAGAAAACGGACGACAGCTGCACTTAGGAAGAGTAGTTACACTTGGAATTGTTTTGGGTTGTCCAGTGCCCTTCGCAGCTGCAGTGCCATGAACTCAGTTACTATTTTCATTATTGCCGTTATTGTTTTCTAATGCTTTAATTGCTGCAACTGTACCAGGATTCTCATTTATCCCTCTATCGAGGATGTTAAATCGGTGGATAAAGTATGACTCTCGTTGTTCACGTTCTCGATTTGATTTAAATCCCGTCTCTAAGAGCGTTACTGATAGTTTGTCGAATGCATGGTCGGGAAGATTGAGATGTTTTGATAGAGGTAGACTTGGGGCTGATTTCGCATGGACTCTGTGATTACTGAAGCGAATCCTAAATGGTGTTTCTGTTTGTCCGATGTACTGCATACCACACACATTGCATTCGAGTAGGTATACCACATTAGAGGAATCGCATGTTAGGTTTCCTCGTATGTTAATCGAAAACTTGGTTTGTCTGCTGGTTGCTTTGTCTGTTTCTCGCATCCCCTTACATACAAAACATCGTGGCTTTAAACAAGGTCGGCATGAATTATTGGGGGGTGATGTGTTAATTTGAGAGTGGACAAGGGTGTCTTTGAGGTTACGTGGTCGTCGGTAAACGACGCCTGGAGCGGATGGGAATGCGCGTTTCAGACGTTCACTTTGTTCCAGAATGTTGTAATGTCGTTTAAGAATTTTGTTTACATTGGGAAAGTTTGTGCTGTAAGTCAAGCAGAGGTTTGTTCGTTGTGGGTCTTCTTGTGGTGGTCGCTTCATAAGTAAGTCTTTGCGCTTTAGTTTTCTCGCTTTTTGAACAGCGTCATTAATTAAATGTAGGGGGTATTTTTGTTTCTCGAGCATAAGTTTTAGCCTCTGTGAGCTCGTGTCAAAGTCAACGTCTCTAGAGCAGATTCGCTTAAACCGGTGAGCCTGGCTGTATGGAATACTGTTTTTACAGTGGCGGGGGTGGTGGCTTTGGTAATGGAGGTATTGTTGTCGATCCGTTGGTTTGCAATATAGGGTTGTAGAGAGCTTCTCTTCTTCTATCGTTATGGTAACATCAAGAAAATTTACGGTTACTTGCGAGTATGTGTGTGTGAACTGTATGTTCGGATGTATAGCATTGTAAGTGTCGATAAAGCTGAGAAGTTCGTCATCGCTGTGGGTCCAAATAAGAAAGATGTCGTCGATGTATCTTCTGTATAACATTGGTTTCAAGGAACTTTGTGCAAGAAATTCAGATTCTAGCTTTCCCATAAATATGTTGGCATAATTAGGTGCCATTTTGGTGCCCATAGCGGTCCCGCTGATTTGTCGAAAATACTCTTGGTTAAACTCGAATGAATTTAATTCGAGGACCATCCTCGTCAAAGTCGCAATGGCAGAACTACGAGACCGCGTCTCCCTATTGCGGACCCCGGAACTGCCAACGAACACGTCCGCCGGAAGCCCAACGCCGAAATCCTCCCTACAACGACGAAGGCCTGCTGGACATAACTACAACCTGCGCACCTCATCAGTGCCATCCCCGCACCCAAAAGAAGATTGACTTCTGAAATGTAGGTCCAGCTCATCACTTCCCAGTTGCAGTGCCACTTTCCTTAAAGTACAAAAACTTGCTGACAAATGAATTAGACATGAAATGCATAAATCAACATTGCAAGTGTACCTTCGTGCTAGAATAGCCCCCAAGGGTAAGACACTCTCCCTCACACCAGCCGCTACAAATCTAGATGAACATGACCAAATAACATGGAAAAACGTCCTCCTTGAGGCATCACTTAAATTAACAGAAATCACTCTTAATCACAGTAATAAGCAGGTAAAGAAACTGGTCACTATGACCAACACCATTCTCCGCCACAACACCTTATCGAACGTAGAAATCACCCAATTAACAGAATTTGAACATAATAAATACCAAGCCATCATGACCAAAAAAATTCATAAACTCAAAAGAGACCATGTGCCCAAACCCGCGTTCCCTGCTATAGTTCCTTATCACTACAACACCACCACCCAGGAAACCACTAATGGTACAAACGAGCACAAGCACAATCGGACACAAGCTTGTCACCTGACGAAGAAAAACTGCTATCTAAGGAACTAAGCTTCTGCACAACCACAAAATTTTTCGATGAATTCCACTTGCTCCGAGACCTCGACAACTTCGCTCGAAGCTTAAGGTTGCGCGAATATTTCTTGGACAGGCCTTCTAACCACGAAACAATTCACCATCGTAAATCAAATGATTGGACACCGAACAGTAATCGAGACAAGTGCTTGGACCTTTATATCACCGCAGTACAAAAAGATATACTACACGAATACCACAGACAGAAAGGAAACCAAGAAAACTTGACAAAATCTGAAAAAATAAGTATGAAAATTTGGCATCTAGGACAGACATAACAATAAAACCCGCTGACAAAGGAGGAGCAATTGTAGTCTTTAATACAACCAACTACTTACAAGAAGCATACCGCCAACTAGACCACTCAAGATTTTACGAACGCCTCCCAGGTGATCCGACAGACGAATACAAATGTATCATATCAACAGAACTAAAGAAACTGTTGGATGCAGAAGAGATAACCAACACTGACCACAAACTGATGCGAGCAGCGTACCCTCGTCCAGGTCGCTTCTACATCCTCTCAAACATTCATAAACCCGGTAACCCAGGTCGACCAATCATATCAGGCATCGGTACAATAACTGAACCCATATCAGGGTACGTGGACAAACTAATAAGCCACATTCCATGCACCCTCGCGTCGTACATAAAAGACACCACACATTTTCTTCGAGACATTGCAGGTTTGTGTGTGCCGAAAAACTCGTACTTGGTTACTCTTGATGTCTCTTCATTATATACAAATATTCCTCACGATGACGGCATAGCTGCACTAAGAAACATGTACACAAACCATAGACAATCTAACACCCCAGATTTCTCTGCCATTGCAACATTGACGAGGATGGTCCTCGAATTAAATTCATTCGAGTTTAACCAAGAGTATTTTCGACAAATCAGCGGGACCGCTATGGGCACCAAAATGGCACCTAATTATGCCAACATATTTATGGGAAAGCTAGAATCTGAATTTCTTGCACAAAGTTCCTTGAAACCAATGTTATACAGAAGATACATAGACGACATCTTTCTTATTTGGACCCACAGCGAGGACGAACTTCTCAGCTTTATAGACACTTACAATACTGTACACCCGAACATACACTTCACACACACATACTCGCAAGTTACCGTAAATTTTCTTGATGTTACCATAACGATAGAAGAAGAGAAGCTCTCTACAACCCTATATCGCAAACCAACGGATCGACAACAATACCTCCATTACCAAAGCGAC